GGGGAGATGGACAGGGCTGGGGGGAGATGGACAGGGCTGGGGGAGATGGACAGGGCTGTTTGACACCTGCAGGATCGCACTTGGTGATGAAAAGGTCTGGAAATAGATGGGGCTGCACGACCTTGGGAACACACTGGAAGGGACTAAATTGTACACCACAACAGGACAAGCGTGTGGCATGTGACTTACATCCCAATAAAACTATTAAAAACACAAGGCCGTCCACGGGGGTCCTGGAGCAGCCCACAGGCCCCTGAAACACAAGAGCAATGCCGCTGGGCTCTGCCCTGTTCCCCGTGTCCTCCCAGGGCCTCCCTGCCCTGGACCCTCCTCTGTGCAGAGCGGAGGGAACACTGTGGTCCCTAACTCAGAGGGTGAGTGTGGGGCCTGAGTAGTCACCCCGGCATGGAACAAGCACCCCACAGCATGTCACCCAGGAGCCGGGGCCAGGAGGAGCTGCACAAACCCTGGCCAAGCCTCCATCCGCACCACAGCTCCTGGGAAACAGCCCGTCATGGTCAAAGGCAGAGCTGCCGTGAGTCTCCACCAGGGACCCTGCAGTGCCACACTGAGTGGTGGCCAGGGACATGGCTCAACACCCCGTGGCACACAGGATGGTCCCAGGGAGAGTGAACTGGCCCCAGGCATGGACAGAGCAGGGCTGAGACTGTGGGTGCAAGGCACTCAACTGGAACAGAGCATCGTCCACTAGCACCATCCCACATGGCTGGCGTCACCTGGGAGAGGTCGATGCTCCCAACAGACACGAAGTAAAGGAAAAAGGAGATGCCCCTCCCTCTGCCCCTGGTGGGACCCCGCCTGGACAGCACTGGCCCCAGCCCTACCCCACACCCAGACACTTGGGACACTCACAGGAAATGGCGAAGAGGGCCTTGACGCGTACCGTGTCGCAGGCATCCCGGTCCAGCAGCCGCAGCAGCTTGCGAAGGGCCCCAAGGCCCAGCACCTGCTCTTGGATGGCCGCCACGTTCTGACTGCACGTCCCGATGAGCTGAGCCGCCCTCCACCGCAGCCCTGCAGCCCCCGCCTCCAGGTACCGGCCCACCAGCAGGTGCATGCCTGACAGCTGGCAGAAATCTGTGCCGCAGACAGGAAGGCAGAAGTCAGGGTTGGGCTGAGTGGCAGCCCAGAACTCACAGGTTGTGTGCTAACCCCGACACCTCAGCATACAGGGACGGGACATGGGCATGGGGTCTCGTTTGGAGGTGATGGCCTGACACTGTGAACACACTACACACCATGCAGTCGTACTGCTTGCCAAGGGCCACTTTGGTCCTGTGGATTTTGCCTCAATGGAAGTAAGGCCAAGGAATATGGAGGAGGACACTCTGCACAGCCCACTCTCACCAGCACTGCGCGGTTTTACCAAGGAAACAGCCAGCCACATCAAGGAAGAGAGAAGCTGGCCAGAAACAATGGCCACACCTGTGGTCCCAGGGGTTCAGGAGGCTGGGGCAGGAGGACCACAAGTCAGGGCCAGCCTCAGCAACTCAGTGAGGCCCAACTCAGCAAGACCCTGTCTCCAAATAAAAAATAAAACGGGCTGGGGATGTGGCTCAGTGGTAGAGTGCTTACCTGGCAGCTATGAGGCCCTGGTTCAATCCCCAGTATCARTAATAAAAGGAAAAGGAAAAAAGAGAGTTCACATGCACACACACGTGCAGAGCAGACCAGGAGGAAAGGGGACGGCAGCTCTACTTCTCCCTTGGTTACTGGTCACTGCTGCTGTGCCTGGAGACTCACACACTTAGCACGCGGCAGCTGCCCAAGAGATTTCCCAATCAAGTGGAAGATGAATCCGACAAAAGTCACAAAAGCCGTCCTGTGGACTGGGGGCACAGTACCCACTGCCCAGTTTTGCCTGGGAAACAGGAAACCCAGAGCGCCAAACGTGCTCCCACACCTGGAGTAGGGAGGCCTTCCCAAACCTCATCTTCCCACATCCAAAATAAGACACCTGAACCCCCTGCCCTCAYGTTTGCCAGACCTGCAGCAGGGCAGATGGAGTCCCACGCAGCTCCCACCTCCCATCCTCAGGAGCCCATGGACACAGAAGGTACCCAGGGCTTCAGGAGCTCTCAGGACCTGCCCAAAGTCACATGCCGCGAAGCAGCAGTCTGGACTAAGCAGCCGTGGAAGTGAAGTCCAACCCAAACCCTGACTCGGCACCCACCAGCTCGGGCTTACGGGCTCAGCCATATTAGGACAAGACCAGAGCATGCACCTCAGTCTGCAAGGCCTCAAGCCCATGTCATTCCCGACCCYGGACCCTCACTTGCTCTGCCCTGCCTCCGGGCCTTCCTGAGTCTCTGAACAGGAGATGCACATTCCCACCTCATGATCTTTGCCCTGGCTGTCCCTGCCACTGGAATGCTCTTTCCAGATAATCCCACAACTCACCTTCTCAGGTCTCCGATCAAACATGGCCCCTCAAGGAGGCCTTACCTGACCACTCCACCCAAAACCACCTTCCCACTCATACTCTGGGAAGTAGCCGTGGATGCCCAGCATATAACAGAGAAATGACGAGTCTCAGGACTCATTAAGCAAGTGGTGGACAGAAGCCACCACCAGGCTGACTTAATAGGGTCCAAGAAGGGCCTTGCTCCTGGTGGCTGGAAGGGGAGGCTAGAGGCTAGGGTGGGGCTGGTGGTGCGGTCCTCAAGAGACATGGTGACGAGGCTGAGCTGTCTGAGATGTGGACAGAGGCAACAGGCGCTGGTGGGGGACGAGGGGTTACCTGCAGCATTGTCCATGTTCTCACACAGGTCAGCCAGCAGCTCCAGGGCCCCCTCGCGCTCCTGCTGGTCATTAGCCAATTCAGCTTCACCAGCCATGGGCGGCGTGGGCTGGGACAACACTCGGAGACAGCTCTTCATCTGCTCCACCTCCTCTCGCTGGCCTCGGAAGGCGGCTGACATGGCCTCCTGCAGCCATTGACGACGCTGGAGGACAAGGATGAAGAGGGAAACAGCCATAGCTAGTTAGGGAGTGACGGTATTAGGAACAGCCAAACTGGGAGGCTGACTGCCCTCTGTGACAAATACCTGTGGAGCATCGGCTCTTTTCTGGGCACTAGGAACTTGGTCCTGAGCCAGCAGACAGAAACTCCTGCAGGGGCAGGGTGCTTACTCTGCTGGAGGAGCAGCGGCACAGGAAACAACCACCACGCAGCGCGAGGCCCGGTGACACAGACAAGCACCGCTCGCTGGTGAGGTGAGCAGAGGGAGGTGGGCCACTGGGAGGGGTGCAGACTGGACGGGATGGTTAGGCAGGCCGTGATGCATAAGGCTGGCAACAGAAGAGCCAGGCAGATACTAGAGATGAACACTCCWGGCAGAGGGAGTGGCCAGGAGCCAACAGAGCGGGCAGGTGCAGAAGGCGAGCAGGTGCAGAAGGGGGGGGGGACACGACACCCCAGGAGCAGGTCAAGCCTCGCCCTGTGGCTGTCCATGAAGACCTGGGGTCTGAGAACAAGGTCAGGGAGGCTCTGGGCAGAGGGAGTGGAAAGACAGGGTGAGGCAGAAGGGCAGGGCGGGGAGATTCTCAGGAGGCTAAGGTAGAGATCCAGGCAGTGGTGAGAAACAGTCAGGCCCGAGACTTATTACAAAAAAAGAAAACCGTAATGAGCTGAGATGTGGGGTGAGAGAAGGGAGTCAGGATGACCCCAAGGTTTTGTGTTTTGTTTTTTATTTTTATTCACAGATGAACGTGGTATCTATATTTWTTTTTTTTAGGTGGTGCTGAGCATCAAGCCCAGTGCCTCACACATGCTAGGCAAGCACTCTACCACTGAGCCCCAGCCCAGCCCCAAGGCTTTTGTCCTAAGGAATTAGGAGGAGACAGCCAGCCTGCAGAACAGCAGACTCAGAGTGGGTGCARCACCGACAGAGCCCCCTTTCCAGCCTGATGGGTCTGGCTGTGGTCTATACACCCAGGTGGAACACAGAAGAGGCTGCCTGAAGTTCAGATCAGAGATCTGGCTCCGATGACTTTCTCCACCTTGGCTCTACTGACCCTGAGCGTGATCATTCTGTGGGGGGAGGAGTGGGACTGTTCTGCACACTGGCATCCAGTGGCTGCAACGTCCCTGACCTGCAACCACKAGATGCCAACAGCACCCTCCTTCCAGCTCTAACAACCAAGAATGTTTCTACTCACTGCCAATTGTCCCCTGGGGGGATAAAACTGCTCCTAGTGRAGGGCCACTGCTTTGAGACATAAATTTGAGACTTAGTTATGGCTCAACATGAGCAGGAAGAGAGTATGGATAAGAAAAGAGATCTCAGGACTGGTCCTGGTGCATTCCATTATTAAGAAGTGGGAAACAAGGAAGAATCAWCAAGGGAGAGGATGGATGGGGGCCAGTGATGAACACCAGGAGACTACATCGTCCTAAAGAACAAATGTCGGAGGCAGTGTGATCAAACCTGCTGCTAGGTCAAAGGAGCAAGAGCTGAGAGTTAACAACTGAAACTTTTTTTTTCTTTTTTTTGCCAGGCCCCGTGTTAAGTCCTCATAAGAGGGCTCTGTTACCACAGTTCTAGATAAACTTGAGCAAACTAACCTTTCTGTGCTTGTTTCCTACTTCATTGTTTTAAGGGTTCGACGACATGATGTATATAAGTGGATTAGCACCATTCAGTAATTGCCAATTAAATACTACATCCAATAAATGTTGTTATCGATCTTCAAAACAACTCTATGAGGTATTACCATTATTCTCAATCCACAGATAAGAAAACAGAAGCACAGAGAAGTTGTGACTTATCCAAGGCAAGGTCACACCATTGGCAACTGGTACAGTCTGACTGAAGTCAAGCTGATGTGCCGCCTAAGCACAGGGYATGATGTGCAGGCAACTGATCTGGACTCTGAGCCCCCCTAAGGAGTATGGTTATAGTCAAGCATGATGCTATGATCTCAGAGACCCAGGACTCTGAGGCAGGAGGATACCAAATTCCATGTCAACCTCAGCAACTTAGCAAGGCCTTGTCTCAAAATAAAAAATAAGAAAGGGCTGAGGACCTTTTGGGGGATGTAGCTCAGTGGTTAAGCACCCGTGGGGTCAATCCCCAGTATCAAAAGAAAAAGAATGAGAAGTCCTTTCCTCCTTATCTACACTGCAAATAAATGAAGATCTGGAGACTCAGAAAGATTAAATAAAATACCCAAGGTCACACAGCCTRACAAGGTTGAATCCAGGTTTGTCTGGTTCTAAAGAGCCTTTATGTTGGTTTGTTTGTGTTTGTTTKAACCCAGAAAGCTATTCTGCCTCCCAGAACAGTGCTGGAATAGAAGCATCTGTCCCCTAAGACACTTGACATCTGACCTCTACAGTGACCCTATGCAGCACAAATACAGCCTACCATGCTTCCATGTCTGAGACCCTGCCCCCATCCAGGAAACCCCCAGCTACTAGTTCCCCAAGCCACACTTTCCAAGACACCTCTGTTCCCAGGCCCCCCACCCCAGCTTCTTGGGTCCCAATACTTTACCTCCGCACTCATGGGTTCTGGAGGGGGATCTGGCTCCTCAGAGCCCGCCGTGATGGCCATCTGCAGCAAGCCTTGGAGGTTGCGTGGGGGCCGGGGATTGCCCGAGCCCCCTGCTGAAGAGCCGCTGCCCCCTGACGAACAACCCTGAGATGCTGCGGGCAGCGCCAGGGGGAGGCGACTGCCCCCGGAGCCTTTGTCTGCCATGGACCGTTTGTGAAGGAGGGAAGAATATGTTGTGGGAGACAAGGTGGTCACCGCTGAGGCAGCTCTGTCGTCCTGATGGGTCGATTCCTGGGGGTCTGCTGAGAAGGTGGCACTTTAGGGGAGCTCGGCGTCCCCCCATGACCTCAAACCTCTCTGCCCACACCTGGGTTAACCACAGCCCCCTTCCCTTCCTTCATACCAACTGGACCCTTCCCCAAAGTCATAAGCCCTTCCTTCTTCCATAGCAACAAGCCCCACCCACTCTCCCTAGCAACAAATCCCCTCCCCCATCTCCACTACGTGCGTCCCCGTCTCTTAGCAACCCAACTATCCCGCCTCCATTGCAATAAGCTGCTCCTCCGTTCTCCTTAGCAACAGGACTCTTCCTCCTCTCCGAGGAGGGTCGCGGTAGCGGGGCAGATCTCACCTTCCCGAGCCTCGAGCCCCCGCCGCGCCTAAAGACWCAGTCGCCCGCACCTGACTCTGCTGGGCGCCGCCATCTTGGCCGGAAATACGCAAGGTTCCTCCCGGAAGCGCCTGAGTCACCCACCCAACCTCGCGCGGTAGGTGAGGCTGAAGCCGCCTGCCCTTGGCTCAGAGCCGGTGCTGGGGGCGGATACCGCACTCGGCCCCGCCCCCCGGATGGGCCCTCCTCCCACTAGCCCCACCTCTTCTACTCAGCTCGCTCACCTTAGCGACCCCGCCTCCTCATCGCAAACTCCACCCACGCCGGCGTGAGCCCAGCCCCCATCCATGTTCCCCCTCCCCTGTTCTAGGCCTTTCGGCCTCTCCCAGTTAAGCCCCGCCTCAGCTCCTGGCGCTTCAGCTGCTCCGGTTGGGCCGCACCMCTAGTAGGCCACGCCCCCTCCCGCTGCTTGCGCTGCCTAGTCCCTCCCCTTCAGGAGCGTTGGTGCTAGACTTTTTTTTTTTCCTTAGGTGCTGGGGATCGAACCATRAACCCTGTGCATRGTAGTCAAGCGCTCTACCACTGAACCACATTCCCAATCCTTTCTATTTTATTTTGAGACAAGGCCTTCTCTAAATAGCTGGGGCTGACCTCAAACTTGGCAGTCTTCTGGCCTCCGCCTTCTGGGTTGCTGGGATACAGGCAAGCACCACTGCATGCCCAAATCTGATTTTATCCCCACTACTGTAGCCCTAGGATCTCAGCCCTAATATACAACTTGTGCAGCCTTAGGCCTCTCTCCTGGACTCAGTCTCTCCATTTGTCAAATGAGGCTGGAGTGAGAAACTCGCTTATCATCCCTCATGCACTCATCTGAGTCCTGCCAAGCAGAGAGGAGGAAATTCTGGAGGCCACCAGAACCTGCGTCAGGATTCAGAGAGCCAAGGGAGCCAGGGTGAAGGGAGGCCCTAGGCCTCCGTGCAGCAAATTTGGGGCTTAGGTCTGCAGGGTGTTTGCCTGGAGCTGGGCTTAAAGAAACCACATCTTGGTCTGCATAGAAGGCCCTCCCCATCCAGAAGGGTGTGCTCAACTTCAGGTGAGGCCACCAGCTAGGAGATACCAGAGACCTGCTGGCCTCGGTTGTGCAAAGGATTACTTGGAGCAAAGATAGGAAGGACTGTGGGTATTGGGAGCTCTGTGATGTGGGTAGGATCTGGGCTTTGAGTATTCCACTGTATTAGTTTATATTGCTGCTGTTAACAAACTCCCAAAAGCTTGGTGTCTTAAAACAATACACACTTATTATCTTGATGATCTGGAGGGCAGAAGTCCAAAGTGAGTGTCAGTGGGCTGAAATCAAGGGGTCAGCAGGATTCCTTCTGAAGGCTCCTGGGGAGACTGTTTCCCTTGCCTTTTCCATTTTCTAGAAGGCACCCTTCTCCCTTAGCTTGTGGCCATGTCACTCTGACCTCTGCTGCCTTCTCCTCATCTCCCTGTCTGACTCTGACCCTCCTTTGTCCTGTGATGACATTGGGCCACCCAGATAACTAGGACACTCTCCCCAGCTCAAGATCCTTAATCACATCTGCAACATTACTTTTGTCACATGACATATTTACAGGTCTGGGAATTAGGGTGTAGACATCTGTGTACATGTGACTATGCATCATACCTGTAGTATAATGTGACACACATAGAGCATGTCACATTATATGATGTAATGTTGCATATATGAATGCATAAATAATACTCYGGTAGTCTAGATGAAAAAACGCATGTGCCTATAAAACCTCAGGCTTTAAAATGACCTATAAGGAATGTGATCATATAACTTTCCCTCTGTTGTGACACTTCAGAGAGAAAGGAGGCCCGATTAATGTTTACATAGGTATAACCCAGGATATATGGCCACTGTGCTTCTAAGACTGTGTAAATCTGCTTCTTGGCCTCCCTTTCCTCTCTCTGCCTTGCTCATTCTTTTCTGGCCACACTGGCCCCTTCAGTGTTGCTACAGCACCCAGGCACACTTCTGCCTCAGGACTTTAGAATTTGCTGTTTCCTCTTCCTGGACTGCCCTGACTATTTGTCTGCATAGTTCATTTTGCTTCCTGGCCACTGTATCTAAAAATCATGTGCCATTCAGCAGACGTACCTAACCCCTTTCCCACATTAGTAACCTCTTCAGCATGGACCATGACTGTCTGACATGTCTAATGATGATTTTGCTTGTTTACCTTGTTAATCAGCTGTCTCTCCCATTAGTGTGGAAGGTCCATAGGGCAGGCATTTGTGCAGACCCAATTCCCTGCCATATCCTTACCATTGGAACATGCCTGGCTCAGATTTGGCACTCAGTAAAGATTCATGGAACGAGGGTAGTTGCATAGACATGAGCATCTCATAGGAGCCTAAAGGATCATGGCACACTCTGTAGGGGACTTGGAGATGAAAAGGGTGCCAACACCTCTAAGTATCTCAAACAGTCTATATTATGTGGAAATCTAATGGAGTATGTGAATTACCCACAGACTGAACAACATATGTGGATGGATGTGTCCAGTGGAGATGTATGGATTATAGTGGAGCTTGTATAATGAGTTCCGGGACCTATGACAAGCACAGAGTGCATAGGAATCTAAAATATATATATGGGGCTGGGGATGTGGCTCAAGTGGTAGCGCGCTCGCCTGGCATGTGTGCGGCCCGGGTTCGATCCTCAGCACCACATACCAACAAAGATGTTGTGTCCACCGAGAACTAACTAAAAAATAAATATTAAAAATTCTCTCTCTCTCTCTCTCTCCTCTCTCACTCTCTTAAAAAAAAAAGAATAGTCTTTATAAAAAAAAATATATATATATATGTATATGTATGTACATATGTATATATGTATATGTATATATGTATATGTGTGTGTGTGTGTATATATATATATATATATATATTGGAGCTCAGGGGATTCAGAAAGTTTCTCTGTAGGAGCAGGAGAATCCAAAAGCACCCTGAGATGTGGGAACCTAATGCTGATGGAGATACAGCTTAGCCAAGGAGCACAGGATGGGTGATCTTGGGGGACCTGGGGAACAAAGACCAGTCTTGGGTCAGCACCCTTCTCTGCCTCTGCCTCCCCCTCTTCTTGCCTCCAGTTTGTCCCCATCTTGCCCAGCACTGGATCCTCACCTGTGTGTCCCCTCCATGTCCCCTATCAGTCCCCACCCATGTCCCTCTTTTTGTCTCTCTGCATTTGTCTTGTCATCACATCTGTTTTTCTCCATATCACATCCCCACCCCTGCTGGCCCCTGTCCCTGTCTCTATGACCTTCCTGCTGACCAGTCCCTCTTTTCTGTCTCAGCCCCTGCCTGCCCAGCACTCCRTCTCTCTCTCTCCTCACCCCTGCCTTTGGTGGTCCGCTGTCTCTTGCCTTCTCGTCAGTCAGTCTTCCTCTTTGTGTGCCTCCATCTCTGCCCGACTGTGGGCTCCATCTCTCTCTCCATCCTTCCCTTCATCCTCTCCCCTCCTGCATCCCTATCCCTGGCTCCTCCCGCATCCCTGTCTTCTCTGGCATCCTCTCTCTTCCTGCATCCTCCACCCCTCCCAGCATCTTCCTACCTCCTCTCCATCCCTCCAGCTCCCAGGCCCGCCCCTCGCCACCCCCTCCCCCCTCCGAAAGGGTTAACTTTGGGGAAGGGCCCGGAGTCCCCGGATGGTGATGTCAGCGTGCCGGAGAGAAAGGACGAGGTGGCGGGGGGAGGCGGAGAGGAGGAGGAGGCGGAGGAGAGAGGGCGCGTGGGGGGGCGGGGGGGACCTCGGCCTGCAGCATCCGCCGGCCCGCACCTCAGACCCCCCCGGCGCGGGGAGGCGCAGGAAGGGGGGGGCGGCCAGGGACCGGCTGGGGAGGGGGGGCCGCGCAGCCCCCCCCGGGTCATGCTGACTCCCGGGGCCTGACCCCCCCCCGGGCCAGCCCCCCCTCCCCCAGCTCCGCGGCCCGCCGACGGGGGGGCCCAGCCCAGCCCCCTGGGGACCCCCGGAGAGGTGGGGAGCAGCCGGGGGGGCCGGGACGGAGCTGTCGCCGGCCCCCACCGGAGGAACGGGGCGACCGGCCGCAGGGGGGGCGGCCGGGGGGCCGACCGGGCCGGAACCAAGGGCACCATGTCGTCCGGGGCCAAGGAGGGCGGTGGGGGCTCCCCCGCCTACCACCTCCCCCACCCACACCCACACCCACCCCAGCACGCCCAATATGTGGGCCCCTATCGACTGGAGAAGACGCTGGGCAAGGGACAGACAGGTGAGTCCAGCAGAGCGGATACCTGCGGGCCCCCCCGGCAGGGTGCAGGTAGGGGCAGMGGGAGGGACCTGGGTACTAAGAGGGCAAGGGCTGTCCAGACCCTTGGGTCCTTCATAGAAAAGGGACTTGGTGGCCAGACTTGCAGGACCCCAGGATAGAGGGGGTAGGGACTCAGTTGGGGGGGGGGCGCCTGGAGGAGAGGAGGCTGGGGCCTGGACTCCTGGGTCTGAGGAAGGAAGAGGGGTTTGGACTCATAGGTTTGAGAGTTGGGGCCCAAATGCTCCAGCCCCACTGGGGCAGAGGTTGGAAGGGGTCCAGGGCACAGTGGGGACGGAGGCGGTGCGGATGTGGTGCTGGCTGGTTCTGGGAGCTCAGGCAGTGCTGCAGTACAGCCGCAGGCTGGGTGGAGGAGCTCCCATCCCCGGAGCCTCTTTCCTCCCACTGCCCTCTGATCTAGAGCCTGAGCTAAGCAGGCGGCCAGTTGGGGTGACAGGCGTTGGGGGGTAGGCATTCTGCCCCTGCCGTGGCATGCTGCTCAGTGTGGAAACAGGAGGGAAAGGTGGCGAGGTGGGCTAAGGAGAAGGTGCATCTCCCAGGAGGGGCCCTGGCAAGGGGAATCAGCCTTTGCTGTTGCTAAACACTGGCTGCTGCCCACTGCCTCCTTGCTGCTGGATGGATGGGAGTGAGATTGGTGCCCACACCAGTGTCCCAGGGCAGTGGAGCAGGGTCCTTGTGAAGCTAGGGTCAGAGCCTAAGACAGGAAGTGGAAAGGTCCAGCCTCCAGATCCTGATTCTAAGAGTGTGAAGGTCTTGCTGACCTGAATTCCTGAGCCCTGAGGGAGAGGAAGAAGGGGTCAGGAAGCTGGACACCTGGTCTGAGGGAGGAGGGTGAGCTCTGGAGCCCTGGGTCTGGGGGAGGAGGGACTGCCTCTGTGGTTTGGGGAACTTAGGTCCTGGAGTTAAGGA